GGTTTTGGCTCTCATGTCGCTCAGAGGTAGAGCGGGTCGTCCACTAACCGGGAATGATTGCCCGGTTCCATCCCAGGCTTCCCCTCGCTGCCATGTGTCCTCGAGCAGATACTGAACCCCAAAATATTGCTCCCGATGTGCATCGGCCTGGTGCTGAGGGTGTATGAATGACTAGATTTCCGTTCTGGGTGAAAGCAGTTGGACTTGCAGCCACTGCCATCAGTGTAATGAATGCTGTAGATAGATAGAAGAGAAGAGAGTGTGCATGTAGGTGTCTACGGCGCATTGAGTGGCCTCGAAGACTAACAAGCACTATATAACAGTACAGTCCATTTTACCATTTATCATTATTTGAGTAGGACAGTAGAGATACATAGGCAAGGGTGAGAGAGAAGGGATGACACACAGCAAAGGGCCCCAGGTCAGGTACCCCTTCAGCCTTGGTACACTTCAGACACTAGCTCTACCAGCGTGAACTATCAGGGCGCCCCCCCAAAACAGAGTGTAACCTGTTTTTTGGTTTTCTGTGACTTTCTGTGACTCAATGAAAAAGTGCATCGACTAAAAGGATCTTCTAAAGTGTCTCACATGGTTTACGCGCTATAAGGGGACAGCCTTCAATGATCAGCTATAATAATAATGATACATCAATAAATAAAATTATAAATTTATTTACAAAGCCTTTCAAAATGAAGTACTAAGTTGCTTTATGTGGCTGCACCTGGATAGAACATTTCAGTAACTGCAAGATAAGGCAATAAATAAACATAATAAAACAGCATTGGTTGATTTTATCATTTTTATCAAAGGAAATACTTATGTGTTATTGCGGAGCTCCTACTGCCTTCTTCTGTGGCTTGACGCTTTCCCTCTGATAATCTGTGTGTCCGTCAAGCCGGCCGAGTGCATAACAGCCAGCTGGTTTACAGTGGCTGTTATGCACTCGGCCGGCTCTGTAAGTAACTGTTAATGTTATCCATCATCCCTCAAATCGATAAGTCTGCAAGTATTTGTTTTAGTGAAGTTGGAAGTTATTTATTCTGTGTTTTGAACAACGAGACTTGTGTGATGTTACACTGTGATTAAATAAATGAACTAAATGTTCAGTTTCCTTGCTGATAGTGACACATTCAGAACCAATACCACTTTTTTAGGTGGCTGTTAAAAATATACATATAAATAATTAAATAAACTAGTCGACTATTGGCTTACGACTACTAGGGTTAGGAAAATCTTAGTCGGAGGCAGCCCTCTGTTACCACAGCATACATTACTACACTGGATTGTTGGGTACTGTCCTTGGGTGTTACCTGTGCCTGGGCCAGTTTGGCCCGTAGCTGTTCAATGCAGCGCCGCATCCGCTCTCTCTCTTTCTCTCCCTCATCCCTCTCCCTCTCCAGCTCTTCGTTCTTCCTCCTCAGCTCTCTCAACCCTTCCTCAAGTTTCTCTTTGTGGCTCTTCAGGAGCTGGAGGACCTCGTTTGAACCTTCCACAGGCTGCGGAGAAAGACACGAAAGTGAAAGAACCCAGGGTTGAATGGATGTAAGGAGAAGTGAGGGCAGGAGGGAAATGGATGACCACATTGACCCGGGGCTGGAGAACCAACACCAAGCAAAAAGTAGAAATACACCAAAGAAGGAGGTTTACGAAAGGAGACAGAGAGGGATTTTAAAGATGGATAAACTGGTGGATCACAGCTGTGAGCTAATGGCGTGCTCCATTCAAAGGAAGATGCAGAGACATTTCTGGTGTTAAACTACCATCCAATCCAGTCTTCCTACTTGGAAGTAGAAGGAAAAAATGGATGATGTAAAACACAGTTCCCCACAACATAGCAGATGCTAAGTTTATTATGAAAACACTTTTTAAAGTTCCCAATTCACAGGCCATCCCATATCATTTAGTAGAAAGTCAAGATTTCCAACCTCTGCCTGAATGCAATGACAGATAAGGTGGGGTGAAGCTTTAAACTATAGGTGTGACAGCCAGAGAGTAAGTGCCAGCAGTCTGATTGTTGGCAAGCAGGGTGGAGTGAGCTGGCTCACCTGGCCATTCTCCCTGCCCATTGTCTCCCCCCATACCTCTGAAAGCGAGGTGGGGGGAGACGGGAGGGTGCTACTCAAGGAGCTATGCGCACTTGCATCACCCTGGACACACAGACATACCAGTTAGATGGAAAATAAACAAATACATCAAAACTAAAATAAAAACACCCTGACTGAACATCTTCAGGCATCTTACCAGGCTGCGAGGTGGAGTGGTCTGTGTGTGTTGATCCGTCTCTTCAGCTCTCTTCCTGTCCCGCTGATCTAGAGTCTGAAGGACACAATAGACATAAGTACTTCCAATATCCATTGTTAGAACTGGAGCATCTACTCTTCAGCAACACAAATTCTTCTTCTAATTCTAATTGTTTTCCCACGTTTTGTGGCCCTGTTTAAAGCACCAAGAGCACATGGTCTAAAGTGCACAATCTGGCTGCAAAGGCTTTTCCCTTTAAAAGCCAGGTGCGCCTCCAGCTGACACACTGCTTTTTTAATGGGGCATTCTGCAATTTGGAGAAATTAACGGTTTTCTGCTGAGGTAACAAAGCTTTAGAGCAGCACTCATCTTCGCTCAGGGGCAGGTATGTGGTCCTAGGCCAGTAGACCCCCTGCCTCTGCCATCTCCCAACCCTATGTCCCATCCACAACTTCATTTGACTGCATAGGAGCTACACCAGTATTTAACTTAGGATGAGGAGTGCTGTTGTGTGTGTCACAAGAGGAGTGAGCACGAGCTGTAAACCCACCTATGTAGGCAGTAGTGATGGCAGTGCGACACTGAAGCTTCGATACGTGCTTCAAACCCTGATCTACACCTCCACAGAACCACTGCTTCAAAGCTTGCTTTGGTGCCAAAACAAATCACGTGACATATGACGTCCGAAGCAGCTGACTGGTTCACGGTCCAATCAGGCGATTCACTGGCACTGCCTCGTCTCGACTCTGACAGGTTGAGACAGTTTTGAATTTGAGCGCCATTAACACTTTATAACCGCAAATGTGAAAAAATTCTGAGCAAAAATCAATAATAAAAACCTTTGAGTGTTCCCCATCCCCCCCTGCCATAGTTACACAAGCACACCCAACCTATGCTATATTTCCCAGCATTCTCTCCTCAATAAACACAAGGCACACATTCATAAATTCTTGATTTGGTAAATAGAACATGATACTTGATAAGAATGTTCAAAAGCAAAGATACTTAATAAGTAGTGTCAAAGCAAAGATGCTTTAGAACAAAAGGTGGGGTGGTGTGTGTGGTGAAGGAGAGGTGGCGGCAGAAAGCGAGGCGGGTCGGTGTGTGGTGTGTGTGGTGTGCGCGTTCTGCGGGTATGTAATTAAAATGCGCGTGCTGAGGCGAAGGCCAGGGGCGTGGGCGCGAGGAAGTTGGACTGCAGCCTTTGTACTTTGCCAGGAGGAGGTCACTGCTAACTGAAGCTTCGGATTAAATGAACCCATTTCGGATAACAATTGGCTCAGTGCAGTGCTTCCACAAAAGCTTCATTTGCCATCAATAGTAGGCACATCTCCCATCTGAACAAGGTGCCCTTGACATACTAGGAAAGTACTTGTGCACTTTGTCTTCTTTGTTTACTTTTGTGTTCTTTTGTTACATGGGCGACTAAACAACTTTCTGCTATGAGCTAGCCTCGCTATGTTGAAGAATTCTGAAGGGATGGTAGCTATTAACCATGTGAAAAAGAGTGTGAAAGTATATATATATCTCTCAGGTTGTAAAATATAACAGTGGAAGCAATTTAATGGTGGATCTCTAATATCGTTAAAATGTAAATAAACCTTGACAATGTGAAAATATGAAGGAAGCAGATTGTGTGAATCTTAGGCTAGGCCAAACCTGTGGTCCGTTCCAGAAACGGTCCATTCTGGCGGGCGTCCTCGCAGGTCTTCAGTCTTGGCTGGAGCTGCAGCAGTGGTTAGGAGGAGGAGAGGAGCGAGGGCCGGTCCGTTCATCTCTAAAGCCCTGGTAAGGGAGTTGGTTCTCCTGCTAGCCTCTCCACCAGGGCCCTGGCCTCCTGGAAACGACAGCTGAGAAAATTCTCTTCCTTCTCTCGTCTCCGCTGCCATCCCTCCATCTCCTCACTATGCGCTGACGCAGGGCTTTAGGTTGGCTCTGCCGGCAAGGCCTCTGGAGGCATAGGGCAGAAGGTAATAGGAGAAGTAGTAGTTTGATATGACATCATACGTTAACCAGTATTGCGGATAAGAAACTAGATTGTAGGTAGAAAGTTAGTCTAATTGGGTAATTTTCGAAAGATGAAGCAACACATTGCTCCTTCTACAAATAAAAGGTTGGAATTCATAAGCAATTAAAAAAACGCACTCTTCTCAGTTACTGTGAATTACTGTGGGGCGGCAGTTTTTTTTTAAAGTTGCTTCCCAGCTTAATATTGAAAATCTTATTTAAAGCTATAAATCTGCAACATTTCTATATTAAAATACTGTCTATAAAATCTAAGCTATTGTTACCCATTTAGTAGTTGAGTGGTGAAGGCCGTTTTTGTCATTGGAATGTCTGGATCTAAGTTAAGAGAAACAAGCTAGCTAACTGTACAGGCAGCTCTTGTCTGCCAGTGAGAGCTAGGCAGAAATTACGATACTGTATATTTTATAGTATGTTGCTTGGAATCTGATTTAGGGGTGTGTTTAATAAGCATGTATGATGCCTGTTTGTTATTTGAAGGATGTTTTTACTGAAGGTTTAAAAAAATCTATGGTAGCTAACATTGAGAATATACTTGCGATAGTACTTGCTGTGTAACTGACATTACTGAGTACATTTTCTGACTTCTGATGATTCTCCGCTACGCTACATTTTGCATTCACGATTAGATATAATATCCACTCGTAGGGAAGGTACAGCAAAAGTTACATAAGTAGAGCAGGTTGTCCACTAATCGCAAGTTTTTTGTGTCCAGATAACTAAGTGTCCTTGAGCAAAACACTGAACCACAGTTCCTGCCAATGGTCAACCTTACAAATGCAGTCCACCTACTAGTTAAAGGCTGCTTTACTGACACAGAATACAATTTCCTGACCTTCTGTTGTACCTTTCTTAAAGTGTTCCTTTAAAATCACTTGTTATGCTTTTAAAATTTCTGCAATGTTCTCTACTAGCATTCTGTTAAAAATGTGTTTTTCATTCCACCATTAACTCCTAGCTCTAGCATCAAATGCCGAGACCACACTTTGAGTGGACTAAATATTGCTTTATTTGTTTAAATTATAGAAATACATTCTTACCTCTAAGCTGCTGGTTGTCACCCAGCAACCTGGTCACTACTTCATTAGCAGCCAGCTCCGGTGGGACCCGGAGGGCCCCTCCACTGTCCTCTCCTGACATGTCCCACTGCATTGGGCCATCAGGCTGGGGCTGCACCATGCCTATAGAAAAACATGCAGATTTGTGATGTATACACATACTCATTACAATGTTATTCATGCCAAACATCACTGCTCAAATAACAATAAGTGTGTTCTGTTGAAGTATGTTTCCCTGTGCACTACCTGGAACCCAGCCTTATTCCTAACTCCAACAGGGTTGACCAGCCAAACCAAGTGTGGGACAAAGAGGATGTTTGTGTGGGACAATGAGGGACATTAGTTCTGTGAGGTGGTATAACATTTTGGTATCTCTATCGAACATAAAAAATAAACATTTCTCTTCCGCCACAATAGACTACGCAGGTTCCTGGTAAGTCCTTTAGCATTTGAAAGACTTAACTCCCACGCTAAGCAAATACAGTAGCATGAAAGAAAGCGTCACAGTTCTTATGGTCTTGTCTGCGATAGATGCCTTCCGCTGGCTTCACCCAGCTATAAGTAGTTTCCTAGCCTTTGTTGTAGCGGCATTTCCTTTTCTTTGTGGTAGTTTCTCTGTCTTGTGATGGCAGCCTTTCCTGATTTGTTCACAACCATTGGATAAAAAAATTATTTTATAAAATCAAAAAAAGTGACTTTTGAAAAGTAGAGACAATCAAAATGTTAGTATTTATCGAAGTTTACTGAGACTGTATTAATAATTAGTTATACTAATAGTTACTAGGGAAAGTAATTCTATTACTAAACTGTATTAGTAATTCGTTACACTACTAGTTACTGAGGAGAGCAATATTATTACTGAAATGTATGAGTAATTAGTTATACACTAGTTACTTAGGAATATAATATTATTACTAGTAATGATTTAATGGCGAACACTGACCCGCATTCATCATCACATGCAGACACATGGCACACCGCTGCTCATCCCTGTTAGGCAGCCTGAGGTAGTAACTTTCACTTTCAATTCAATGCCTACTCAAGACCCCGGCCCGGTTTATGTCAGCTGAGGCCACCGGGCCTGCTGCCAGGCTCCAGTCTACAGACCCGCTGAGTGTCAGTAGCACTGACTGTTGTTTGTGCCGTCTAACCTACATACAGGTTGAACGGCAGAAAAACATTACGTCATCCCCAATAGCAAAGAGCTCGACTATGACACATTGCTAGCTTGTTGCTAGCATGTTGTCAGGCAGAAGTAAAGCCACCAGTCGTTCATTTCAACTGCTGATCTGATCATCAGCTCATGACCCACTCATATGTATTAGCCTCACAGCTAACCTTACAGCAGTGTTGTTTTCTTCCCCACACTGAGTCAGAATCCAATGTGTCTCCTGCTGACGTACGTAACACAGGTAGGAAACTTCTCTTCACTCACCCTTTGTTCTTTTTCACTTTCGTTGTCCGGAATAGCAGGCAGCAACCGAGCTGTCCCCACATACAGTCTGTTAGTGAGCGTAGATACTTCCCAACGTTAGAAAGCTGGCTAATGCTAGGCAGCTAGCGACTTAGCTTCTGAGCTAGCTAAGCAGGATAATTGATAAAGCAGTAGTTAGCTGGGTACTCTGAGGCACTTGTTGATTGACATAAACAGCGACCTACATCAACGAACTGTATGGCTTCCGAAAGGCATTTTGTCCAATTTTGTCGCGGTATCCTGACACAGTGCGCGTGTTTGAGATGGGTTGAGGTTATCTGTCAGAGCCGAGGCGACTGTTGTTAGCACAGGAAATGCTAGGGGCTCGTTTGCCCTGAGTAAGGCCTCGCAGTCAGCACTTCCTCTCAGGCTACAGGTACTGCCACTACTGTGAAATGAATACCTAACCTGAGGTGGCACTAAACATTAAACATATGGTCTGCTGTATGATGGCTTTTGATCAAATAAGCAAATAAACAAACTTTGGTCAAATTCCATCCAATGATGGAGACAGTGAGTGGACTTGAAAGGTATCTACTCCTTCTGCTTCATAAGAAAGAGCTATGGAATATTGAATCATTCCTCTTTGCTCACTACATCTCTAACCCTCAGGTATGCATACTGTGCATAACTTATTTTTAAAATACAAAAATGCCAAATTATCGGTATTATTATCGGCTGGAATAAAATGCCATGCATCGCTAGTATGCAGGCTGGAAGTGAGTCGTGCCTGAGAGGTTGCACTCAGGGCACAATAGACCGCCTCCCTCAGGAAATCCCCCTTCCTTCTTCCGCAGTAGCTGCTGCCGCATCACAGCTTCTTTTGCTGATGTGCGCAAAGTGGCAGAAGCTAACGTTACATGATGCTCTCTACCCCCGCTGCTGGAGTTCTCTTACTATTAGCTTGGATTCATCCAAGTTACGCACTGTATTTCCACATAGGAGAGACAGAGAAAAAATGCTTCATTGAAGAAATCCCAGACGAGACCATGGTTATTGGTAAGCTAAGCTGCTGTGGGCTCTTGAGCTTGCCGTAGCTAACTAGCAGTGCCAGCTAACAGCTGGCTGCAGCTAAGATGCTGAATATGGCAGTAGTGGCGACAAAAAGAGCCGGCAGTTTAAGAAAACCTTAAATTAGACTGCTTACAAAGCTTAAAGCCGCAGACACAGTTTTCTGTAGCTTTCTGTAGCTGCTGGTTAGCTATATATTCTCTCATTGAGCGATAGCGTTACAGCTGAGTTCATGTTTTATACTCAGAATGATGACTGTAATATATGCCACAGGGCGCTAATTCAACTGTTTTACTTGTGTCATCGTATATTTAAGAGATAGTGTTCAAAAATGCAATGTTTTCTTGTAAGTGACCTCTCCTTCACGACAGCTGTTGGCTATCAGGAACTGGGCGGTTTAAAACCTTTATATAAGCAGAGTTGTCTACTTGAAAGCAAAGGGGACGCAAGTGATATGTGTACATCCATTCATTACAGTAATATTGTGATGATGAGTAACATTCCCAATACAAAGCTTACACTTGCCATCAGTCATATAGCAATCTGTGCACCGGCCACATTGCACATCCTGTTTAATTTAATTTAGTAAACCTAAATTCTGTGCTCTTATATTTCTATTATATTTCAACATTTATGCTATATTAACTTACATATTTATATGCATGTATACATGTAAATACAGGGGATAAACAGAAAATACCCAGAGGACAACTAGAATTCCTAGGATGATGCTAACAGTTTCACTAATTGGATCACCTCCATTGTTTGTGTGTTGTGGAACTGGAGATCTGAGTGCAATGATGGTGCTGCATTTAGTGCCAAGGTGCCCAAATTTATTCCCTCGGACTGCCAAATTTAAAGGTCCAGTGTGTAACATTTAGGAGGATCTATTGGTAGAAACTATGTTTTCATTAGTGTCATTATAATTTAATTCTATTACTGTTTTACTGGTGCGGCAGTCCCACAGAAATCCTTTCCTCTGAATGATGACCTGATGGAATGTGTCTATGTTGCTCTGCCTGTCTGACAGGAAAGTACAGGACTCAGCTGTGGGACAAGCAGACCAGTTCCTTCCTCCCATCCACCCCGGGCCTTGGGATGCATGTGGAGATCAAGGATCCGGATACAAAGGTAAGGACAGAGGAGGTGGTATTATAAAGCACACCCGCACACACACACACGTGAATATAGAATCTAAAGAAGATTTGTGTCTTTTTACTCCCTCAGATTATCCTTTCTCGCCAGTATGGCTCAGACGGACGCTTTACCTTCACCTCCCACACTCCTGGAGAACATCAGATCTGTTTGCACTCCAACTCCACCAAGATGGCTCTCTTTGCAGGAGGGAAACTGGTATGACCAGTTATTTTCCTTTCACACTAATGATACTTAGTAATGACATTGACTTTCATTTCAGTGTATTCACACTAGGACCATGACAAGTCCTGTATGTTTATTAGTACAAACTGAGGGCTGTTTCATAAAGCAGGATTACCCATTAATCTTTTGCTTACTCTTTTGTTACAGGGTTATGTCACACAGTGCTGTCTTCACATGTCTGTTTTCTTTATTGTGCATCGCTGTGATCTGTTCTTAAACTAGACTCTATTAACTCTGATCATATTCACCTCAAATTCGCTTCATGAAACTGCTTAATCCCGGTTCAGGTTTTTCACAATAAGTCTTTAAACTCGTAGATTTCAATCTGGCTTTGCTCCCAATGTTGCAGAGAGTGCATCTGGATATTCAGGTCGGAGAACATACCAACAACTACCCCGAAATTGCAGCTAAGGACAAACTGACTGAGCTGCAGCTGCGAGTCCGACAGCTGGTGGAGCAAGTCGAACAGATCCAGAAGGAGCAGAACTACCAGAGGGTCAGTAAAAAAAATACACCAAGTCATGTTTGAGATGAAAGGATTACTCCCAACTGTTAGATACCGTTACACCACTCTAAAGACTTGACTGTGTATCGTGTCTTCTGCAGTATCGCGAGGAGCGCTTTCGCATGACGAGCGAGAGCACCAACCAGCGAGTCCTCTGGTGGTCCATTGCTCAGACGCTTATCCTCATCATCACCGGCATCTGGCAGATGAAACATCTCAAAAGCTTCTTTGAGGCCAAGAAACTGGTGTAATGTCTTTCTGGTCACCATTAGGAAGCAACACAAGCTGACAACACAGACTTGCCTGAGCGGAATGGAGAGATGGCCACCGACAGGAGAAGACAAGTGGTCTTAATATCAGCCCTAAACGGTACGAGTAGTTATCAATCCCAGGCAATGTGTTTTCCTTGTAAATGTTTTTGGCTATTGTTATTTTTCCGTTAGCACCACCACAGTAGCAAAACATTCCAATTGCCTTTTCTTGTTGTGTTGTTTCTTGACAACACTGAACGTCATTTTTCTATCTTCATGTGCAAGAAGAAGTAGAGACATCATCAGTGAAGTGAGACTGTTTCTTATGGTTATACAGGAGTAAGAATGAGAATGTTAAAGCTGGTACGAGTAATAACCGAGTAGTTTACTGATTTTACATAGGCCATTGTTTGTCATTGTTAGTGTTGCACATAGTTTTATTTCCAGGTTTTGTATCTTAACCATATGCTTTCAGCTGTGTCACACAAATATTATCCCCTAGCCTTGATTTCTTACAAGTCCATCTGATAATGCTCTATTCAAACTAATTCTAATTTAAATTGAGCATTTATAAGCCATATATAAGCCCTTAATAAATGGTTTCTAACACACTTATATAGTTGTAAGCAGCACTGAGGACATTTTAACGTGGTTATTAATGTCTTTGTAAACAATTATAACCTCCCATGAAGCATTCAATGATTAATCATTAATTAGCTGAAAAAATCAGGCCTTCTGGCTGCTCCTCTAGTGGCCGTCCATAATGACATTGGGCAAGAATCCACCGGAATGAAAACAACCATTCAGAGCCAAGAAAGATGGGTGACTGTTGCGTCTCATTCCCAGGCTGTCATATACAGACATATCATAATGTACTACTACCAACACAGTGAAAATTTAAGCAAATATGACAAAAGGTTATTTTTATAAAAGTTACCTACTGCAGCTTTAATTGTTTTGACATCTGAGGACGTCGCTCTGGGCTTTGGAAAACACTGACATTTTTTTTAGCATTTTATGGACCAAACTACTAATTGATTAATTGAGAAAATAATCGACAGATTAACTGAAAATGGAAGTAATGGTTAGTTGCAACCCCACTTGAATAAACAGTTTATTAATCATTAATAACGGTGTAAAACTGTTAATAAAGACAGATTGAGATTCAAGGTTCATTCTTGATATCAGATACAGTAGCTCTCTAATTCTGAGCTCAAGGTCCATCCACTAATTTTCTTCCCAAGCTTTTGAGGCTCATCTTCCTCAGCTAATGGAGTTTGCTCAGTTGTGATGGATGGTGAAGAATATTTGCTCAATAAATCCAATAAATATATACAATTAATATAATCAATCTACAATAGACAGAGGTCCTATTTCATATATGTATAATATTGTCATTACTGTTTATAAGGCAATTACAGATACTGTATGGGAGTTGACAAATGCATTAATAAACACATAAAACTGTCCTCATAACTTTATACAACCACATTTTAAAGGACCAGTGTTAAGGATTTTGTGGCATCTAGCGTAGAGTTGCAGATTGTAACTCTCTCGCTTCACCCTCCCCTTCCAAGTGTGAAGGAGAAACTACAGTGGTCACGAAGTGCGCAAAAATGCCATGCCATGGCGGCCTCTATAAATAAAATAGGACCCGCACCCTCTGTAGATAAAAACAGCTCATTCTAAGGTAACAAAAACACAATGATTCTTATTTTCAGGTATTTATACACTAATGAAAACATACCTATGAATATTAAATTTGTACATGTTACACACTGCGCTCTTAAGTGTTTATATATTGCTTATGAATGTGAAATGGAAGGTCAAAATGAAGTGTTCCCATCCTGCTGACTGTATATAGTCCAGTTTCCTGTACATTTGACCAATGCTAGGTCTGTAGATACAGTTTGTGATACTCGTCTGTTAATAACAGGATTCTACTGTATGTTGTAAATAACAGGTATAGCTTAGTGACTGTCCTGTCCATTTTCTAATGCCTTTTACACTGATTGAATACTATTCAAGTCTTTAAGTCCTTCAGTTGTGTCACCAGGTTTTTTTTCTTTTTTTTTGTTCCATCAGTGTCATAGAACTTATTTATTGATTGGTCGTAGCCTGTGTTTTATTGCTGAGATTAAGCCAAAACTACTCTGTCATTTTCATGATTTCTATTCTGGGTTCTACTGATCAACACCATTTTAATACTTTTGCTAATTCTGTTAATTGAAGTTCTCATCATTATAAGGTAGAGCCCGACTATATCGGTCGGCAGATATTATCAGCCAATATTGACTTGTCACAGAAATGGTATCGGTGTGAGTGTTCTCCAATGTGCACCGATATTTTCTGAATATAATGCAGAAAAAAATGCTTGTGGTAAAATATTTGTCACTGAAAGGTTTAACCAGCAGAGTGCGCTGTGAGTTACGATACTGTGGCAAAGAGCTCGGAGTGAGAAGAAAAAGCTCTCAGAAATGTCAACTAGAATTGGTGGACAACGTTTCTATTAAATTGTTCAACTGTTCTTAACATAAATTTATTTGTTTAACAAAACAGCTCTCTGAGTACATTTTGCAGTCATATTGAAAACACATAGAAAAGGTCGATTTTCAAGCTCAAACATGTACTTCATCGGCCGCCATATCGGTAAGTCAATGAATTTTTCCCCTCAAAGACTAATATTGGCCGGGCTCTATACAGTGAGTCAGTAGGTTAATATAGTTATTTGTTTACTTCCATAGTTTGAGTCCAGCATATCTGGGTGTTGAATTCCTTTTACAGTTGTTAAATTATCACTCTAAAAATATTAAAGTTTTTACTGTGGTCCAGATGTAACTGGTGTGTGCTTAATAAAGAAACTGGTAAAACTCCGTCCGTCTCGTATTATTTGTGCCACTTTGCCCCAGCTAGAAGAAATACACAGCAAATGGCAGATATTTTCAACAAGAAAATTTATTGCTTGGCTTGCCTCAGAGCCAGATTCCAAACCAAACAATGCTGAAACGCCCCGTTAAGACAGCAACCACAAGTTTTTCAATCTTTTTTTTTTTTTTCATCACCGACAATGAAAGCACTTTTCATGGAGACAGAAAAAACACACTGACCTTGTGACACCTTTGAAGAAACCACTGCAACACCATGATTAGCTGCAGTGTGAAAATCTACTGGAAAACTAAATTTACCACTTTGCATAGATTCACTCCCTTTCATCTCCGACAAGACACAAGTTACACAGAAACAAAACACTCTTGGATTTGTTAATATCAAGAATAGAGATTTTGACACGTTTGGCACACCATACGAAACAATATCAAACACACAATACTATGTGTCATTATAAAGGGATAAATGATTTATTAAATCAAGTCTTTGTTTCATCTGTACAACAAAAACAGTACATCGCACTGTGTGGACTTCCGATCTGTGGGACACTGTACACAGTCGAACACATTTCAGCACTGTCACATGTCGGGTTGGAAAGGTAGAAAATATCACAACAAATCCAAACGAATCCTCTTTATCTTGGGTGTATCATTTTCCATATGTCACCGTGTTTTCAGTAGTTGTACATTTGTCTATTATCCAGTAATTTTGTATAGTCCAGATGATGTACCAAATTTGAGGTGATAGGTTCCCTTTTTCATACAAGGATGAATCTTGGCACACAATCTTTGGCTTTTACTTTCTGCCATAACCAAATGAAGTATTTTGCATCATATACCCTGAACCAATCATTGTAACACAGAAAAAGTGATGTCTATGTCTGTTTTTATGTTCAAAGAAAAAAACTGTTCGGGGACTAGTAAATGTTAAATTTAGTGACACAGAAGAAAATATTTGTACCTACCTAGAAACTTAAGACTAGACTATAATATCTCTGTGACTATAATGTCTGTTGCATGCATGTGTTTCAAAAAGTAGGTAACTTTTATAAAAACAACTTTTTGTCATATTTTCTGAAATGTTCTAGATTTGCTGCTTTGGGACCCTGGGAATGGGACTCAATCAACATATCTTCAATTTCCAAACCCAAATGTCTTATATCTTTGTGGTGCCTCTAATTGTTTGGTGGATTCTTGTAAATCCCATTAGGAGCACTAGGAGGAGCCAGAGGAACCTGATTTTTCACAGATTATCTGTCTCATGTACTGCTGTCAGGATATAGTATAAATATAGTGAAAGCAAATATGACAAAAACTTGTTTTATAAAAGGTTACCTACTGCAGCTTGAATCCTCATAACAATATTTAATATGACCTTAAAGGGGACCTATTATGCTTTCCCATGTTATAATGTCAGATGTTCATATTAAACATGGTCAAAATGTCAAATAATGAGGTAAGTGTAAGTAAAAGTAGTAGGACACATCATTGTATCATTGTAATCATCAGAACACAGAGGTAGACATCACTTATTGTTTGTTATCATCTCTGGTTCCGGAGATATGATGCAAAATACAGCGATTATGGTGGAAAGTAAAATGGCCCCATTGTGGCCGTCACTGTGATGGCTCCATTTCTGAACATGTATTGGACCTCAAACTGTACAGTTTTGTGTTATTGTGACAAAGTGAACCTTATTTTCACCTATCACCTGGACTAGCAGGAGAGATTTCCATGAGAAGGAAGTCAGAGCACTAAAGGTTAGTAACACACTACTTTTAAAAAACAGTAGAACTAGTTCTGTACCACTTTTGAATGCTTAAAAGAGCAAGAAGGGCACACAAAAAAGTGAAGAGGATTAAGCAAATACACTTTAAAATTATGCAAGAACTTTTGCAATCCTAGCTCCACATGGCTTTGTGGAAATGATCTGCTTCACTTTGCACGTGAAGAGTGTTTTTCTTTTTTCTTAAAGGTATTTCAGAGGAGGAAGAAGCTCTTCTTCTAATGTCCAGACACGGTGAGGTGCTGCATCTTCTTGGCGGCCTCCTCTGACACCATCTTGGCGGATTTCTCTGGGCTAGGAGCTGGGCTGGGAGCTGGGCTGGGTTGTGGAGTGTTGGCTGCACTGTTGGGATACTCCCTGTTGCCGAATATAATGCTACCCACTCGCACGTTGGTGGCGCCCACCTCGATCTTCATGGGAGCACACAGAAAAAATAGCAAGAGTCTGAATGAGTACGATATGCTAACTTATATGCATCAATCCTGTCGTTATGGAATCAAATAAAAGTTGTAATAATGAGACTCAATTTAACCTACTGAAACACCACTGCATTTACAGCATCAAAATATTTGACTTTGCAAACTATCCTGAATTTTCAGTACTCTCCACCAATAGACCGTTTTCACAGCAGCCATTTTTACATTAAACCTTAATTAGTATCATTGGAAACACCTGTGTTTACCCTACTATTTCATGTCAAAATGGCTGCTGTGAAAAAGGTCTGTAAAGGCAGAACATCAAGAAAGAAATGTACAGAAAGTAATTTCTGCCACTAGGGGCTCTCTCAAATCAAAACAATAACAAAAGACAAAGTTTGCTGACATGGTAAAGTAGCATGGGATGGGGAAATTGTTCGGTCCTGAACCTATCTATGCTGTCACCCTCTGCCGCTCAGCCTTCTCCCAGGCTCTAGGATTCTCCTTCACGTGTTTACCTTCGGTTCAAGCCGGCACCGCCTTCCTACCTGGGAGCCATCTCCACATAGGGTCCTTCCTCTCTACAAACAAACCAGACCATGCTGATTAACAATAAAAAGCTAGAAACTGCTGCTACTACGACGTTTAGCCAATACCAGCTTGATAAAATAATCTCTGATAACTTAAGATCCAGACCGTCCCGATGACTTAAAATGCCTTCATCCCCGCCTCTCAAATCTAGAGTTACAAAGCACCAAGACTCTACAACAGTGGAGTGTAGAAATTGCTTCAGACTGGATAAAGTCATGTAGTGACACGCTTCTGACAGACAACCACAACACTGATGCAGGCACAAAGGGGATATAACGCCACTGACAGGCGACCAGTGTAACGCAGCGTTACCTGAATAAAATGAGTTTTTCTTATGAAGAGTTTATGCATGCTGATAGAGAGTGATACTCACCGCGTGTTCAAAGTCTGTGGACATACCCATGCTGAGCTCTACCTCCTCCAGAGGCAACTTCAGACTGTCACACACCTCCTGCCTCCGACTCAGCAGCATCTACAAGAGGGACACAGTGAGATTACAGCCTGACGGTGCTGGAGCTTTCAGCCAGAGACTGATCGCAATTTGTTTTTTTAAACACAAACACAAAACATAAAGAAGCAATCTTGATATGAATCCCTGAGCTTTGTATTTAATGACAAAAGATGGAAAGATGCTTTGGGTTTGGTTAGTTTGAAGATGTTGATTGCGGAGTCTGTATTTGAAGACCTGGGAATGACAATCACCCATCTCTCTCAGCTCTGATTGGTTGTTTTCATTCATGCCCGGTGGATTCTTGTAAATACCATTAGGAGCTCTAGGAGGAGCCAGAAGAACCTGATTTCTTCACAGATTA